GGAGGCGGTCCTCCCAAACTGGGGGGCATGGAGAAGCCGCCACGGCCTCCCGCTCACATTCAGAATGACCCAGGTGCTCACCGGACACGGCGTGTTCGACGAGTTCCTGAAGAGAATCGGACGAGAAACGACAGACATCTGCCACCACTGCGGAGAGGGCAGGGACACGGCGCAGCACACCCTGGAGCTCTGTCCGGCGTGGGAGTTGCCCCGCTACACTCTGCGACATGCCAGCGATTGTAGAGGCGATGTTGAGAGGACCACAGGAATACGAGGCCGTCCGCCTCTTCTGCGAGCGAGATATGCTCGCGAAGGAGCGAGCGGAAAAGGAGGGAAAGAAAAACTCTCACCCTTGCAGGATAAAACGATGGAGAAAGATGGCAGAGAGACGACCTAGAGCCGCTCTACCGCCATCCCAACGGACCAGGCCTAGAAGGAGCGACAGCGCTAGGGGCAATGACCCCCCTAACGCCAATTCAATAGGCAGGAGGTACTATGATTGGCTCGAACAAGAGAACGCAAGAAGGGGGTGCAACAGAAGTTAATTCATAAGAGGTTCCTGGAGCACACCTGTCACACGCGTAGGATGGTCATCGTGGAGTTTTAGTCGGTAAGAGTCCGACACTACTCTGCTGTCACGCGATTACTGCAGCAGAGGAGTGTCCTGAGGATTTCTCCACGTACAAAAAAAAAAAGATTATTCACCTATGTCAGAATAACAAAAATTGATAAGGATCTGACCTCGAGGACGGTGAAGGCCAACTTTCTACTTGAAGAAAGAAGAATCGATGCTACTGCGAAGTCATCCGAGCAAGGCAGTGGAAATCCAGGCAGTACCAAAACAAAGATGGTGCGAAGCCAAAGAGCAGAAACACAAGTAATCAAAGGTGTTACAAATGTAAAAATGGGGTCACATTTCGTGTCAGTATCTGGGGGAGAAAAGAGATAGAGAAGAGAAACCCAAGGAGAAGGAGAAGAAGAGACAAGAAGACAACAAGAAGGAGAGAGGAGCAGAAGACAAACCAAAATTCAAAGGGCTCATCTCAGCATTAGCCTTATCCTCCATCAGCTGTTTGAAAAAAGAGAGGATTAGTTATCTTGACTCGTGTGTTTCAAACCATATGACGCCGGACAGGTATCGCTTTGTGGATTTCGTATCTACGATTGGATATATCAGGATTGGTAAAGGGCGTCTGGAAGTGAAGGGGAGGGAACAATCTTTGTGAAAGTGGCTGAATCCTGCGGGGATTGGACCTTTTCTTTGTCAGATGCTCTGTGGGTACCTCAGATGTATGTAAATCTGATCTCGATCAGACAGTTAGCAAAGAAGGGTGTTACCACCGTGTGTCGAAAGGACGAGGCTGTTGGAATACATGATGATGGCGATGTTGTGTTCACCTCAAAAATAGAGAGTGATGTAGACTATTTGGAGACTGTCCTTGATGAAAGACATGTTGCTAATGTTTCTGTGAACAATGATCGTAGTGGGTTTGACAACAGTGACTAAAAGATTGAAGTCATTGAGGCAAAAGCGTTTAGGAGTGTTGTGCCGTGGCATGAGTGATTGGGTCATCTGCATGGAAATGTAATTAGCAAAATCCCTGTACTAAACGTGAAAGAAGATTCGAAGAAATGTGATAAACTGTGTAGAGTCTGTGTGAAGGGTAAAATGACAAAGGTGCCATTTCCAAAGACAGCTCATCATATGTGTCACTGTCTCTTGGAAATCGTCCACAGTGATGTTAGTGGTAGAGTTCAGTGTAAATCGTTAGGTGGAGGAAATTACTTTGTAACTTTCATTGATGATTTTTCTCGTTTCATGCATATTAGAATCATTAGTAGAAACAGTGAAGTATTTAAATGCTTCAAGGAATATCAGATGGAAGTGAAAGCCCTGCACCAGTCCAAGATAAGTACCTTCCAAACTGACAATGGTAGTGAGTACATTGGGACCAATTTTGAGAATTATCTGAAGGAGAAGGGTATTTTACACAGGAAGGCCGTACCTAGGAATCCTGAGAAAAATAGCGTTTTAGAACGAACTAATAGGATCCTGATTGAGATGTCTAGGCGTTTGCTCATCCAGTCAGGACTCCTTGACTAGCTGTGGGGGGGGGGGCCATCAGTACTGCATGCCACATAAGGAATCTGTGGGGGGAAGTCATCAGTACTGCATGCCACATAAGGAATTTGTGCCCATCCGCTGCTATTGGAGATAAAATTCCATTGGAGTTATGGAAAGGTGAGGGATGCGACATCCAAGGGGAGATTGATAGACTGAGAGTATTTGGATGTAAAGTTTGGTACCTAATAAGCCCAAGTGGAAAGAAGCTTAATAGTAGGGCAGATGAGGGGATTTTTATAGGTTACGACCGACAAGTCAAGGGTTACAGGATCTATTTACCAAAGACTAATATAATAATAATCTCTTGTCATGTTCGGTTCAAGGAAAATATGTTTCCCTCTAAAGGTGTTGGTGTGGACACGAGTAACATCAAGAAGAAATTTTCTGATTGGATATGGGATGTTGAGGATTTTGAACCTGAAAAGGGAATGGAGCCAGTTGATATTGAGGTCCAAAGTGATGGTAAAAATGATGAGAGAGAAGGTGATTTTTTCATGGATAATTTAATTAGTGAAAATAATCAGGAGATTCAGGAAGAGGTTGTAAGTGTACCTATTGTGTCTAGGAGGTCAGCAAGACTACATAAACCAAAGAGTTGTAATAGT